ATACACAATGGTTCGAGTTCATTACACAATACTACTTATACAATAATATACAATAATACTGTTCCAGCTTACATATAAATTTGACTTAAGGGCAGACCTTGGGAATGGAACTCATTCTTAAATGGGACTACCTGTATAACAAAGAGAAATGCAAACTGCTTCACTTAGGAAATGGAAATTAAATGCACAGGAATAGAATAGGGGACATTTGGGTTGGTGAAGAAGATCTTGAAATAGAAGTTGATTATAAACTGAATGTGTATCTGCAGCCTGATCTGGGTACAAAGTGAGGAAATTCAGTTAAAGGCTGTACCAACAGAAGTACTGTATACTTGCCAAATTACAGGAAGTAATGCTTTCACTTTATTCTGTGTTAGTTAGATTCTACTATTAACACAGCATTTTGTTGTCCAGGCAGCACACTTTAAGAAAAACTCAGAAAAACTAGTACAGGTTCAGAGAAGCGCACTGAGAATAGTCAGGGAACTAACTACTGTGAAGTGAGATTGAAGGAACTTGGAATGTTTAGCATTCAGAAGACTGAGTGGGCATATGATGACACTTCAAATACCTGAAATGTTCTTCATTACCTGAGTGCAACATGTGGGGTAATGGATTTAAATTTAAGGCAGTTCATATTCTTATTTAATGTTGTATGAAATGAGAAAGCCACTGAAATGAGGAGAAACATGACACTAAACACTATAGAATTAACTGATTAGTTAATCAGTTGTCTGATCCAAAGACCTAGTTTTGACATGTATGGCATTTTGTTTTAACATATCAAGTGTCATACCAGAAAGTATCTTAGTGATTTCCTGCAACATTAGCCGTAAGATTTGGGAGGTTGCTCTTTAAAAATATTGCATCTTTTGTCTCAGTTTTAGATATTGTCCATTTATGTTTAAGTACCCTTCATTTTTATTCTTGGAAGGATCCTGGAAACATTATTTCATGTGTTAAATTTTACACTAAAACAGTGCTAGAGTTCCAGAGGTTCATGACTGGGACAAAAGTTTTGAATAATTACAGAAAATTACAAAGGTCAGAGGATTACCAGTTGCTACGTAGTGTGACTCTTCATGCTTCCCACCTGTCCATTCTGTTCTATTTCCCTCTCACTATGTTTCCTTTTTCAGCTGTCAGCCACTGCATTGTTTCCTTTTCTATTTTGTGCCCCATAACCACAGCACTCACTTGTGTTCACTTGGAAACATTTTGAAATAGATTACAGCAGGGTTCCTCAACCGTGGCAACTTGAAGATGTGTGGAAGTCCACACATCTTCAAGTTGCCTAAATTGAGGAACCCTGGATTACAGTATTCTTAGTTCATGTTAAGACATTTTATAGACAATGAGATGGTTTTGTCAAAAATGTTATATTTTTGTATTCCAGAATCTGTTGATAATTCCACTTATGGTTGAACAGTATGAATTTTGCTGTAAATGTGGAAGCATGGGCAACTTGAATCAGTCTTAGTGTTTGTCAGAGAAAGAAACCTGATGAAGTTCATATTAAATTTTGGTTTAAATACATGAAAACTCTACAGTGCCATACTATAGAGACAGACAGACAGACAGACAGACAGACATGTTTGGGCTTTTCTTCCTCTTAATGTACTTTGTACATAATCTTTGTCATAGGATTATGTATTTTTGTATTTTAACACAAAATCACAATCTTTTGGAGCAAGTAGAAATTTGAAAATTTGAGAGCGTGCTGGCTGTTATGATTAACATGGCCAGTGACAGAACATCTCTTTACTAAAAGCAAATTGGTTAAATTGTTCTCCACCATCACCTTTAATTCCCAAGATGCTCTTTATCACTTTATCTTACTTTTGGAAATGTGCCCATCTGCCGTGGGGGTGGGGAACAAGCAGTGGCTGAAGCTATCCTGCATTTTTATTTTCAAAGATTGTGTCTGAATCTATGGTGGACTTCAAAAAATTCTTGCCAGTAAATATAGCACATGAAATTGATACTTCATTTAGCATCAAGTTGGCTTCCCATTTAATTTTTTTTTATTTAAATAATCTAAATAAAACCAGGTAGGCCAGTTTGACAGTTGCTAAAGCAGTTGTCTGCAAGCATGCTGGTGCTTTCAGGTATCATATTTGGAGGTCAGGTTTTAAGAAAATATAGAACCCTCTTGATCTTTAACTATCCAATTATATCTAACCTTTCAATATTTTTTGTTTCAGTTTATGGACTTACGAGAATGCAAAGAACCTGTTGAGAGAGTTAGAGATTCCAGAAAATACTACAGCTGGTGGTTTATATCCAGAAGTGTACAAATCTCTTTTTGAACTTATGGAACAGTCTAATCGAATTGATCAAAGTTTATTCTATGATGTTGATTTATTGGCAGATGATAGCATAATTTTTTAAAGTGAAATATATTTAATTTAAACTGTCTTTTTGTAAATTGAAATATGATACAGAGGACCACGCCTTGAAATCTTACAAAGAAAATAATCCCTGTGTATATGAAGATGGCAGTTCTAGAAAATTCAAGCTATTCAAGCAAGGATAAAATGATGGATCCTGTGTGATCAACTCTGACGTGCAAAGACAAATCCAAAATATTGTAGCAAATTAACTTTATTCTTAGACCTTGTAAGGCAGGCTCTGTTTGGAAAACAGGTCAAATGTGATGTGCTTTGTTTGTCTCAGAAAAATAACAAACAGATGTAAAACTATATAGAGTTACTACATGCTGCATCAGTTCTGTATAAAACAG